GGTCCCAGGGAATGCGGCCGCGGCCCAGGCCTACTAGTGTCCACCTGGCCAGGTGGGGGGAGGGGCCGAGCAGGGGCGTGAGGAGGTGCAGGATGAACCAAGATTCAGTGCAAAAACGTGCTGAAGATCCGCCGCGAAGATGAACCATCATAAGTACCGCAAGCTGGTCAAGAGGACCTGGTTTTCGAGAAAAGACCTGAAGCGCATCTGGCTGAAGGCAGGCCTGAAGGAAGCCCCTCCCGGCTGGCAGACCCCCACGATCTACCTCAGGGGCAAGTGAGTGCAGGCGCCCCTGCCCCGGGCGCTGCTGCTGTTCTCTTGTAATAAAGGTTGACGAGCTCCGCTGCTCCTGCTGCCTGGAAAAAAAAAAAAACAGGTTTAATTAATGCTTGCCTTGCCACCAGTTCTATTTATCATTTATAAATTTGTCCAAGGGTTCAGATTTTGAAATTACACTGGTATTGACTAAAATCTGTTCATCATTGTCTTTGAGCAGGACCTTTGAATTTTCTGTCCCTCAGTTTCCTCATCTGTTAACTAAATAGAACTTTTTCAAATGGTTTCTTATGAAGACTCTAAAATGGGAGTTAATGGGTATGAAATGTCTGGCCCATAATCAGGGGTCCTCAAAGTACGGCCCGCGGGCCACATGCGGCATGCCGAAAACATTTATCCGGCCCCCCGGGTGTTTTTGCCACTGCTGCCTGACCTGCTTAGCAGCCGACTCATCCCGGGCCTGCAGTGCGCATGTGTGGAATGTCTGAGGGACAGTGAACTGGCCCCCTGTTTAAAAAGTTTGAGGACCTCTGCCCATAATGGACAATAAATAAAAAAAGAAGTACATTTCTGATACTTTCTCCAATAGTGATATTCTTTTCCACTTCTGTTTGGGGTCCCTTGATGGCATTGTGAATGTAGCTAGTCAGAAAAATATTCCCAAGGACTTTGAATTAGTCTCACCACAGAGAATCCCTTTGGTCAGGGCAAAAATTGACCTTCTCTTCTCTCTAGTCCTCTAACTGAGAAGAGCCTTAAAATAAATTCTACAGGCCAGTAGTTCCTTCTAGTACAGCAATGTGGAGGAAAATAAGCACCCCCAGATGCCCTTTTGCAAGCCATCCAGCCCTGTTAGTCAGAAGCTAAGAATAACCATTGGGCTTTTGGCATGACCTGCTTTGTGGTTTCCAAATCTCTAAAGAGTTACCCAGGATACCATCTTCTGGGGCAGGCCTTAAAAATCCCCCTTTATGTTAATCTCTCAAACCCATCCTCCTACTGCTCTCCAGTGATTGAATCAACTCCTTATGCACCTGCAAGACCCTCACCATTCAGAGCCCTAAGACCTTTGCAAAGTGATAATTGCCTATTTTCTAAATCTTAAATTTCCTTCTCTGCCTCTGCATAAATATGTGGTGCCTTACCTCAGCTTTCTGGCCCATTCCCATGTATTTCATCAAAAGGTACCACAGCCCTAGCCAGTTTTGCTCAGTGGATAGAGCATCAGCCTGACACTGAAAGATCCTGGGTTTGATTCTGGTCAAGAGCACGTACTTTGGTTGCAGGCTTAATCCCCAGCCCTGGTCAGGCCGCATGCAGGAAGCAACCAATGGATATGTCTCTCTCACATCAGTGTTTCTCTAGATCTGTCTCTCCCCTTCCCCTCCATTCTCTCTAAACAAATCAATGGAAAAATATCTTTAGGTGAGGATTAACAATAACAATAAAGGTACCACAGGAAGGTGACACACGTAAACGCCAGTAGTAGAATTCTCCCACAACCACATCAAATTTACAACTAAAATACAGAACAACCATCATTTAGAAACACCTGAAATCTGACTGAATGGAAGTTCTATAACTAGAGAAATAAAGAAGGAAGCACATTGAGACTAGTAGGAGGGGCAGAGGCGTAGAATGGACTGGTACCACACCCACGTGTGGCATGTTTTTAATTGGGAGGGATATCTTGGCTGAGTAGAACTCCCGTGAGGAGCAAGCAGTCCCAGCCACACACCAGGCCCCCAGCCCAGGATTCCAGAGCTTGGAAGAGAAGTCCCTGTAACTTTGGGCTGTAAAAACCAGTGGGGATTGTAGTTGAGTGACAGGGAGGCAGCCAGAGACCCAGACAGGTCCTCTTATAGTGCCAGTGCACAGATGTCTTCGGATTCACTTTCTCTGAGTTCCAGTGCTAAGGCAGCAGCTTGAAAGAATCTAGGGAGATACAGGGATGAACTAAATTGTCTGTCATCAGGGCAAGAACTGAGAGGCAGCTTTCTCACAGACAAAAGTGCTGGGAACTTCCCCCAACAGAGCTGACTGGCAGGCACCATATCTGAGTCTCCATCAATTGGTAGAGTGGTCTTGTGTAGTAGGTATCCTGTAGAGCCCAGTGGCTCAGCCTCCCTAGTCAACTCAGTTGGGCACTCTAGGTATGCCCACATTATTTGCCCCACCTTGGTGACTCCCTGAGATCCTGCCCCACCCAAGCTGTTTGCAGTGTCTTTTCCATATGAATGGCATGTTCTGGCTCAGGCTTCAGACTTTCCTAAAATCTCTCAAACCAGCATCAGCTGGACTCAATGTGCTCTATACTTCTCAATAAGTGGCCAGGACTGACACTAGCAGCAACTTGACAAGGTTCACAGCTTGGCCTCTCCTGGATACATACTAGTCCAACACAAGTAGCAGCCATCTAAAGATTGCTCTGTAGCTTGTGTTGGGTGGCCCCAGGCATGGCATAGACAGTGGCTGACTTTACACCTCTCAGGAGGCCCAAGAGCCAGTGCAGCTGATGGAGTTTCAGACCATGCCATATTACAACTCTATCACATCCATGAGCAACACACTAAAGGGTTGGACTTGGTGAGCACCAAAGCCCCACTGAAGCAAGTCCTGCTACATAAGGGTGTCGTACACAGCAGCTCTTCCATGGTAGTCACAGCTGGTCCTCACAGCCAATTGGTATGGGGGTAAATTCCTCCCAGTGATGCCAACAGTATTCAAGGCTCAACTACAACAGGATAGTGCACGCAAATGACACAGAGGCATACCTAGAGTGCCCAGATCAGGCGATTAAGAAGGCTGAGCCAATAGGTCCTACAGGACACCTACTACACAAGGCCACTCTACCAATTCCCAGAGATGTAGCAGCTCTACCTAATACATAGAAACAAACATAGGGAAGCAGCCAAAATGCAGACACAAAGACACATGTCACAAATGAAAGAAAGAAGAAATCTCCAGATAAAGAACTAAATGAAATGGAAGGAAGCAAACTATTAGATACAGAGTTCAAAATAATGGTTATAAGGATGCTTAAAGAACTTAATGAGAATTTCAAGGATTTTAGTGAGAATATCAAGGAACTTACTGAGAATTTTAAGGAAATAAGTGAGAACATCAAAGACATAAAAAAAGGACCAGTCAAAAACGAAGGATACACTAACTGAAATGAAGAATACTTTACAGGAAATAGTAGAGTAGAGCATGCCGAGGATGAAATAAGTGATTTGGAATATGAGGAAGCAAAAAACACCCAATCAGAAGAGCAAAAAGTAAAAAGAATCCAAAATTATGAAGATAGTGTAAGGAGCCTCTAGGAAAACTTCAAGTGTATCAATATTCACATTATGGGGGTGCCTGAAGGAGAAGAGAGGGAGCAAGAAATTGAAAACCTATTTGAAGAAGTAATGACAGATAACTTCCC